ATTAATCCTCCCCTCCCCTTGTGTTGCTGCCAGTCTCCTGGTTGACACTATTCCCTCAATAAAAAAATAACATCAGTATAGCATCCATGCTAGTCTTATTATTGCAAGCATAGAACAGTTTTTAATTTTAATCTAAAAAAGTGCAATCCAGAAATTAAACTTTGAAAAGTATAAAAATTTGATTTAAAAAAAATTAATAAATAAATAAATCTAAATTACCATGAAAACCAAAAAAAGGTTTTCATGGTAATTTTTCCCTTTATAGAAAAGCTAAGAAGCTGCATTTTGTGCGAGCACCCAGAAACCATGGTAACGTGACTTACAGTTATCATACCACGAGAATCTCCTACCAGGTCACATCTACTTGTCACCATGGCGGGAAACATTCAGAACAGTCCCTCCCTTTAGGGAATCTGCAGCCAGGCATTGAGAGAAAAATGCAAATGATGGTTGGTTGTAGGCATCCCAGGCATCTCTCTTTCCAACAAAGCAACATGAATTAGCCATGCTTCACCAACCGCAAACACATACTGATATGTGGGATATGTTAATGAATGGGGGCCTGTGGAGACACTACACTGAATGTGCTGTACGTAATCTATTGAGGGCGACATCTATAAAAGGATTCTTTTCTGCTGTAAAGAAATTAAAACAGTGGGTGAATATATTCAACATGTTAATTTTTTACAATGTAAGACTTAGAACTTCCTTTTTTGACTAAGCTTATAGTTAAAGTGGCTCAGAGTATCCTGAGCTACATCTGTAGTTTTGCTACTATTGGCTTGGGCTGCTGGAGGACATAGGGATAACTCTTCCTCAATGTTCTACATTTTCTACAATATTTGTTAGTTCAACCTATAACTTAATCATCCCTCTGCTTTTACTTTTCACCTTTTTCACCTTTCTCCTTACTGGTGCTTGAGCCCTGACTAACTTTAACACAGCAAATGCTGCATTCAACAACTGTTAACATCCTTAATGAAGTGGCTCCACCCCTGACTGTTGCCTATGCAACATGCCTTTGCCTTTGCATATGAAATCAATATAAATACATTTAAAGTATTTTGATACTTAAGTTTCAGTTCTACAGAAGAGCATTTAGACATACAGCTTAACCTGGTAAAACACACTGGTTATTGGAAGGTGTTTTGTATCAGATTCAAGACTCGTTCAGAAAAACATTTTAAAAATATTAGTCTGTCACATTTACAAGCAACTGAAAAGTTCTCTGTTTCACTGAACACAAGGGACTAAACTAGATTTAAGAAGCAATGGTGCATCTTTTACAACATCCGAATAAGATTATAACTAAATACAGAAGTTTGCAGCAAAAATAAATAAATAAATAAATAAATAAATAAATAATATATATATATTATGGATGGGATGATTTATGAAAACCGTCAGAACCGTTCGGTTCGACTGTCTCGGTTCGGTTCGCGTGTGTTTCGTTCGGTTCATGCGCCGCTCCTTTTTCTCATAGAGGAAGCGATTACACTCCAGAGCAGAAGGTGGCGGTACTGCGACCAAAGCCAACCGCCAGTAGTAAACAAGAAGAAGAAGAAGCGAAGCAGCGTAGCCGGGTGTAGCAGGGAAAAAAATCAGTTGTTGTGGAGAATTGTGTGGGTATGGCGAGTGGGAAAGAACAGGAGTTGGAAGACGCGCGAGCAGCACTTTATAGGTCTGCTGTATGGGAGCGCTTTGCATTTAGAGTGACCTACGATGACAGCGCAAAGAAAGTTGTGGATAAAAGTGCAACAGTGTGCAAGCATTGTGCTACACGTTTTGTTTATGCTAACAGCAACATTTCATGCTAACCCCGAAATCCCTCATACTCCGTCAGCAACCCCCGCTGCGCTCCAGACCGGCTGCTCAAAGCAAAGCCTACAGCCTCCACTGTGGCTTCGTCTGCTCCCCTCTGAGTTCCTTGGAGATGGTAGAGAGCATGTAACCTGACCACAGCCAGATGCATGTCTCGCTCCGCCTACATGAGCGAGACATGCATCTAGCTGTTGTCAGGTTAGAGAGCATGTGCCAGATGATTAAATTCAAAGCAGCAAAACATACGGAAATGATCCAGGGTTTCCGCGGATCATTTAAAATAATTACAATCCATTATTTTTGGGGGGATTTTTTTCATAAATTTCATAATTTTTTATGGAATTTCGGTGTAACAATCAACATGTATCGAATCGAACCGAAAACCGTGACCAGAAACCGTGAAGCGAACCGAACCGTGGATTTTGTGAACCGTTCCACCGTTAATATATATATATATATATATATATATATATTAGGGATGGGATGATTTATGAAAACCGTCAGAACCGTTCGGTTCGACTGTCTCGGTTCGGTTCGCGTGTGTTTCGTTCGGTTCATGCGCCGCTCCTTTTTCTCATAGAGGAAGCGATTACACTCCAGAGCAGAAGGTGCCGGTACTGCGACCAAAGCCAACCGCCAGTAGTAAACAAGAAGAAGAAGAAGCAAAGCAGCTTAGCCGGGTGTAGCAGGGAAAAAAATCAGTTGTTGTGGAGAATTGTGTGGGTATGGCGAGTGGGAAAGAACAGGAGTTGGAAGACGCGCGAGCAGCACTTTATAGGTCTGCTGTATGGGACCGCTTTGCATTTAGAGTGACCTACGATGACAGCGGAAAGAAAGTTGTGGATAAAAGTGCAACAGTGTGCAAGCATTGTGCAACACGTTTTGTTTATGCTAACAGCAACATGTCATGCTAACCCCGAAATCCCTCATCCTCCGTCAGCAACCCCCGCTGCGCTCCAGACCGGCTGCTCAAAGCAAAGCCTACAGCCCCCACTGTGGCTTCGTCTGCTCCCCTCTGAGTTCCTTGGAGATGGTAGAGAGCATGTAACCTGACAACAGCCAGATGCATGTCTCGCTCCGCCTACATGAGCGAGACATGCATCTAGCTGTTGTCAGGTTAGAGAGCATGCGCCAGATGATTAAATTCAAAGCAGCAAAACATACGGAAATGATCCAGGGTTTCCGCGGATCATTTAAAATAATTACAATCCATTATTTTTGGGGGGATTTTTTCATTAATTTCATAATTTTTTATGGAATTTCGGTGTAACAATCAACATGTATCGAATCGAACCGAAAACCATGACCATGAAACCGTGAATCGAACCGAACCCTGGATTTTGTGAATTGTTCCACCCCTAATATATATATATATATATATATTAGGGATGGGACGATTTATGAAAACCGTCAGAACCGTTCAGTTCGACTGTCTCGGTTCGGTTCGCGGGTGTTTCGTTCGGTTCATGCGCTGCTCCTTTTTCTCATAGGTGAAGCGATTACACTCCAGAGCAGAAGGTGGCGGTACTGCGACCAAAGCCAATCGCCAGTAGTAAACAAGAAGAAGAAGAAGCAAAGCAGCTTAGCCGGGTGTAGCAGGGAAAAAAATCAGTTGTTGTGGAGAATTGTGTGGGTATGGCGAGTGGGAAAGAACAGGAGTTGGAAGACGCGCCAGCAGCACTTTATAGGTCTGCTGTATGGGAGCGCTTTGCATTTAGAGTGACCTACGATGACAGCGGAAAGAAAGTTGTGGATAAAAGTGCAACAGTGTGCAAGCATTGTGCAACACGTTTTGTTTATGCTAACAGCAACATGTCATGCTAACCCCGAAATCCCTCATCCTCCGTCAGCAACCCCCGCTGCGCTCCAGACCGGCTGCTCAAAGCAAAGCCTACAGCCCCCACTGTGGCTTCGTCTGCTCCCCTCTGAGTTCCTTGGAGATGGTAGAGAGCATGTAACCTGACCACAGCCAGATGCATGTCTCGCTCCGCCTACATGAGCGAGACATGCATCTAGCTGTTGTCAGGTTAGAGAGCATGTGCCAGATGATTAAATTCAAAGCAGCAAAACATACGGAAATGATCCAGGGTTTCCGCGGATCATTTAAAATAATTACAGTCCATTATTTTTGGGGGGATTTTTTCATTAATTTCATAATTTTTTTATGGAATTTCGGTGTAACAATCAACATGTATCGAATCGAACCGAAAACCGTGACCAGAAACCGTGAAGCGAACCGAACCGTGGATTTTGTGAATCGTTCCACCCCTAATATATATATATATATAAACTTAATTAAATTGAATAAACATGATTCTTAAAAGCAAATTTATTTCAGTTTGATGGGTCTTTGATACGAAAAAGTGGTCTGACTGCTTCCCAAATGGTTGCTATTTTAAGTCAAGACAGAATTTACTCATCTTAACAGAAGCAAAGCTTCATCTTGGTTTCTGAGCATCTAGGAGCCTCTGGCTTTAAGGTTCGGTTCTTATTTCATTGTCTGGCCCAGCAGTTTAAGTCCTACCACATTGGCCTCATTCTGCTTAATGCTGTCACATGCATTAACACTGCCACTTGGAATTAATGTGCCACTAATTGCAAAGAATCCAGTCCGTGCATGACTACATGTTGGTTAAGGGCTATGACTATGTGCGTGAATATAAAGAGGAAATCTAATAGGTCAAGGAGAACAAATGTGTTCACTGAGAAATGTCAGAAATATTTGTTTAAAATGGGAATTTTTGGGAAATATGCAGCATGTGAATCAAATCCACACTAAACGATGCACAGGAAAATAAATACATAAATGAAACCAGCAGAAATTTAGGAAGCTCTTGATTACTTTCCGTAGAGATAAGATTTAAGTGGTTCTACCTCAGACTGATAAAGAAAGTAAACCGATCAGTTGAAATCAGACCAGTGAGCAGAGGAGGATTTAGGTCTCTACCAGTCAGAGAAGGACTTGTTGGGTCACCGGACAGAGACGGTGGTGCTTTATTACCAGTTAGCAGAGCACGATGTATTCATCCATTTTCAACCAGCAAGAAAACAATAAAAAAAACATCAACATAAGACTGGGGCGGGAGAAAGGATCAAAGAGAGGGGAGAAAAGGTGTGGTGATGTAAAAAAAAAACAGCAATCTGTAGCTACAAGAGAAAGCTAACAAATGGTCACATACCACTTTGTCTTCATTTTGGTTGTCAGCAGCCAGCAAACTCCACTCGATATCCAAGGGTCCAGTGTCTCCTGGGCCCAGCTGGAACTGGCAGTCCAGCTTCACACTCTGACCGCTGGCCTTCTCCAGGGTGGTGGGCTGAGGATCGGAGATCTGTAGCCCTGAGACCAAGGCTGTTCAGAGGAGAATAAAGAGCAAACAGTTTTAGGATTGCAGGAGTTCACAATTGCTGTTTCAATTAGTAAATCAGAGCAGAATTATAGTGCAGGGAGTCTGATTTAAATGCTCTTTTTATCACCATCTTAGCTTATTCATGCTTCAATGCAATAAGCTGAGCTCAACACAGGAAAATAAAAACTAAACCAAATCCTAATAAATACATGTTAAAATCTGAGTCTGACATAAAGATTATGAGCTAAACTGAAACATGCACAACTGAGAACAGTGTCTTCAGCTATTTTAACTCTGCAATCAATGATTTCAAACAAATTGCAGGAAGATAAACAGACTTGTCATCTTTTGTGGTTTTAATGCAAATCTGAGATCTTTTAATAGCTGAAAGCGGGGCATAGGCAGCAATACTTATTTTAACAGCTCTCAAACTAAACCACACTTGTCAAAATATTTCAATCTCCCACTGTCCCCCATTAGCTATTCACTCCAAAATCTAACTGCAAACCAACCAGCTAACTGCTGCTAAAGGCACGGCTGATGGATAGAAATATCAGCTGAGCTGCTGCCATCAACACCCTTGTTTATAGATGTTGGAGATCGGCCTGTTTTCCAGTGTAGTCCTGTTTCTCTGACTGTGACTGGCTGGATGTGCTCTCTTCGTCCTCTGGCATGGGAGCTGCCTTGGAGCTCGTCTGCCTGGCTGTGTGTTTCCTGGACGGGGCCGCCTTTTACAGCTGCTTTTTCTATCTCTACTTCTGTCTCCTTGAACCCCAGTCGGACTCAGCAGATGGCCGCTCACACTGAGCCTGGTTCTGCTGGAGGTTTCTTACTCTTAAAAGTGAGTTTTTCCTCTCCACTTTCGCTAGAAGCATGCTTAGTGTGAGGGTTTGCATTCGAGTCAATGAGTCGATGCAATCAACAGGTTTTCCTTAGATAGAAAACTTTGACTCAATTTGACTGGATGATGTAGTGAACTGTAAAGTGCCTCGAGATGACGTGTTGTGAATTTGTGCTATAGAAATAAACTGAACTGCTAGGTTAGCATCAGTTTCTCAGGTCCAGGACCAGAGCTTAGCAGGAAGAGGGAGAGCAAAACATTGTACTGTTATTCAGTGGGACTGAATGAATTTACCAAGAAAAACAAACTGTGATTATCTTTTGATTGTCCTCTCCTCCAACCAACCAGCATGTAGCCGTTTCCCTTCAGGGCTTCAGTTCTTTCATGACCTTGAAAGCCTGTGTGTCCAGAGTCTATTGCTGGCAGACTTTACTGCAACCTTTGTATGAAAGGTGCTCAATTCTAGTTGCATGAATGGATCTGCTCCCTAGCTTCTATGCTCTTACCTTCTGTGTGGCTGCAAACCCACTATAAGCTAATTACTGCCACCTAAAGGTCTGGAGGGAGGACTTTAGCATTTTAGAAAAATGAAGCGCCTCTATGATTTAAAAATTAACCTTTCTTTAATTGTAAATACATAGCAAAAGCGATTTATTACCCAGCCCAAATATGCAGGCCAACCTAACGATAATGTCTTTGGACAGAAGGGGAACAACTCAGAGAGAACAAGGAAGGAGGAATGGCAAGAAGATTAAAAAAAATTTAAGATGATCAGAATCGTTAAATGTTGGATAAAGAATAATAGGAATTTAAAATAAGGATTTTTTTTTTTTTTAAAGGGACCTGCTAAATAAAGATAAAAATTCGGACTCAAATCTCTGGAGGAGTAATTGCGGCAATGTCTGCAATTATGTCCATATGTTCACTATAAAAAAATGAGATTATTGATATGAAGAAAATGAAGAGAAAAGAACAGAAAGTGTGGCCTGATTAAAATTAGCAGCATGTCAATCCTGGTGCCCAAATAAACCGGGTGAACAGAAATACAGACCTCACTGAACAGAGCTGTCAAATGCTGTCATAACATGTTAAAGTCCTTCTGACAACCTCCCATATTTTAATCAACAGAGAGGGGCTTTATGTACAAACATAAAACCAAAACAAAACTGTGCAACAACTACAGAAATGGCACCAAAGGTAGACAGTTAACAAGTTCCTGTTCGTATGAAAAGCTTGGGAATTTCCTCTGGTTAGGACTGACGTGCATTTTGACGGAACCAGTCGACTGTTGTGTTAACAGTGGCGCACTGAAACAGCAGGAAAAAGTAGACTTTTAATGGGAATTACAAAGTAATCCTGAGCATGTTTTCATAGGAACAGATGGAAATCAGACAGCGGGCGTCTGGATGGTTTGATTTATTTCAAACATGCCATCTACCACTTTGTTCCTAAACTTTAAATCAGCCTCTACTCATCCACAAACTGAAATGATATGGAGAAGGAGAAAGATTGGACCGATTAGCCTGGAAAACCTGAGCTCTCAGGAAACAAGAGTAAATAGTTTCGTTTCACTCGCTTCCTTTCAGCATCTCGGCTTTGACACCAAACCAAACAAGATAAACAGCATGAAGCGATCTCAGTCACATCCACTACAGCCTGCGAGCGCGTGACACCGCGGCAGAGCGCGGTTTCATTTTTTTCGACTGCCGGAGCTGCAGCTGGTCGTTTGAGCCCACAGATTCTGACAGACGCCCTTGACGGGAGCGATCCGTCGCCTTGAGCTGGAGCGCGGCGATGGGGAGTAAAATGAGAACGAGAAAAAAAAAAACAGAGATATGTGTCTATCACTGTCAAAACAGATATTCGGTTTGTCACCCGCATGAAGAAAAGCTGTGTCAATTCATCAGGCGGCGCTTAGGAGCCGGGGCATTATTCACAGTTGTTTAGAAAACGGAGAGGATTGTAGTTGGAGAGAAGAAGGCGGCATTCAGCTGGAACAGTTTAGCAGAGTGACTGATTCCTGACGGGTAATAAAAGGACACAGTCTGATCTATCTGTTAAATCGATGACAGACCCCCAAGGTTCAGAAAATATTTGTTTAGGCTTCACTGCACCGAGGTTTATTCTTCACTCAGCCCTCATCCATCATCAAGTCATTTTTTTGGTAGCTTATTCACTTAAATGGTTCTAGCGCCTCGCAGAAGCATTCATGCACCTTGAAATTGTTCATATTTAGTCACAAACTTCTGTAGATTATCCCAAACTAATAGAACTGTAAGGAGAGCATTCATAAAAACAATGAGATTTAAAGTTTAGCTCCAGGCAGAAACTTGCACCTTTAGACACCAGGAGAATAAAAAAAGGTGATCGAAGCTGGCAGAAGAAGCAGGCAGCGCTTGTTTACAGACAAATCCTATGGTTAGCTTAGCATCCATGCTAGCCCTTACATTTTTGGAAGCACAGTTTATAGCAGGCCTATTCTTGAAGGCCAACTGAGGAGGAAAAAGAAAAGGGAAATAAGTGCATCTTAGGGGCCAGGGATCAAAGGTGAAAGTCCATCTTTATCTGCTTACGATATGAATCAAATTCTTCATTAGGACTAACTTTGGATCAGTAATCTGTGTCAATGCCTGCTGAAATGTTAATATTTGTGCATTGCTTGGAAAAATCTACCGTGGACATATCCCTACATAGCAGAAAGGAATCAACTCAATCAGATTTCAGCTATCAAAAACCTACAATTCAGTGGTTGAGATGATTCCTTCCCGCTATCATCGCAACACCCGCCCCATTGCAGGGGAAGAGAACACCTCGCCTCTTCAGCCAGGTCAGCAACTCCCTTTAACGACCCCATTCTAAAGGGGCAGACCTGTCATCCGGTTCAATTTGCATGTTTTCTAAGGCAAAACAAGGCTTTACTTTGGTCCACTCTATAAAGCTTCGAACTCAACGCTATTTCTAACTTTTTAAATTGAAAAGGCTTCCTGGATGGGAAGAGAAACTTTTTCAAACTTGGAAACAAAGTCCAGTAGATTGTTTTTTTTTTTTTACTTTTTTAGAATGACTATGACCTGGAAGAGTGAGAATCTTCACCAGCAGCTAGTAGTATTACACAGTAGACATAGACCAATACAGGTTTTTTTTTTTAAGTCCGATGCAGATTATTTTTGACGTGAGTCTAACCGATCCCCGATATGTGCTGGGATAAAGAACCAGAGAAATCCACCAGTGGATTCTCCCAACATTGGCAATTCTGATAATTACCGTCCGATAGCGCTGGCCAGCATAGTTTCAAAAATTATTGAATCAATCCTGCTGGACAGGATTTTAGAGGTTATCAAGTCTACAGATAACCAGTTTGGTTTTAAGGCTAGGCTGGGCACAGATATGTGTATATATGCTCTAAAAGAGATTACTTATAAATATAATAAGCAGAACTCTTCAGTGTTTATGTGTTTCCTGGATGCATCAAAAGCATTTGATAGGGTAAACCACAGAAAACTATTCACAAAACTGACACAAAAAGGAGTACCAGAGTATATTGTTCGTATTTTGAAGTACTGGTATACTCAGCAAACACTGCAGATTAAATGGGGGGAATGTGTCTCTGCTCCATTCAAAGTTAGTAATGGGGTGAGGCAGGGCGGGATTTTGTCCCCAGTTCTCTTTAACTTGTATCTGGATGAACTGTCACACAAGTTGAGAGCTTGTCACACTGGTTGTGTGGCTGGTGACTCGGTACTTAATCACCTGATGTATGCAGATGATTTAGTAATATTTAGCCCTAGTACTGCTGGGTTACAGCAACTACTAAACATCTGCTCTGAGTATGGTCTGGAACACGACATAAAGTACAATCCATCTAAAAGTGTGATCATGATCTGTAGGAGTAAGGAAGATAAATCTACTGAGTTTCCAGATTTTTTGCTGTCAATTACTGTGCTGGGCGTAACAAATAAAACCAAGTATCTTTGGCACATCATCACAGAAAATCTGTCAGACGATGAAGATATTTGCAGACAGCGTAGATTGTTGTATGCTCAAGCTAATACCCTTGCACGTAAATTCGGTTCATGTACTGATAAAGTCAAAGTGGAACTGTTTAATGCATATTGTACCTCTCTGTACACTGCTCACCTGTGGACTACCTATAGAAAAGTC